CCCTCCGCATCTCTGGCCTGTACCCCAGTTCTGTACAAATAAATAAATAAATATTAAAAAAAAAAAGCAATAATATATTTCAGCAATTATTTCCTTTTAGGTAATATGAACCACATATCTGGTAAAATAGCAAACTACAATGTTTTAATAAGCATAATGATTGGAAAATAGAACATGTAGGTGGTAGTTTTCTATTTAAGGGAAAAGCAAAGGCAAAAAAAAGGTGATTCTTTCATTAACACAAGTATTGTTAACTGGAGATCATTTTCTACTAAGGGATGTAATAGGAATGTTTGGACTCTTAGATTATTTATAAAGTGAAATATATTCCAAACAGAAGAAAGAAATGTTGCTTTTAGAATATTGTATTTTCAGTACTTAAAACATATGAAAATCCCTAAGCTTTGTTCATAACAGAACATGTGACAAGATTATTAGTGTTTTGGTTCCTTTTTCTCCATCTTTTTTTTTGTTCATTTTGAATGCATAAGTGAGGATTTGGACCAGAGACAGATTATAATTACTTACATAATAATAATCATGCTGGTTCCCCTGGCTCCAGTTCTTAACCCTGGAGAGATACAGCAAGAACCAGGTGCCTGCAAGCATATGAGAAATTCCGAGAAAATGAATCCAGGTACTCATGCAGAAAGGAAAGGCAGCTGACTTCTTCTTCTAAAAGGAGGATGAGGAAATCTCTGCTCCTGGAAAATAAGATGTAAAGGATCCTGGGTTCTCTCTCTAGCTCTTTTTGAGTGTAAATAAATCTGTCCAGGAGATAACTTTACTCCAAATTAGGTAAATCTTTTGAGTTGCAAATTATCTTCTAGAGCTTAGTTTTAGTTCAGGAGCTTGTTTCCACAAAATATGTTCGGAAAACCCTTATTGTGCAGAAATACAAAATTATTTTCCCTGTACTCTACAGTGTCCCAAAAGTTAATTCTTCCTTCTATCTGGTTGCCGTAAAAAAAAAAAAAAAAAATCCCATTGCTTTCAGGTAGATGTAACCTTGTGACTGCATTCTCATCAATGGAAATTTCACTGCTGGATACGTTGCTGTATTTTATCTAAATGGAAACCAATACCCCTTTGAATTTGTCCCATGTGCATCAAGTGTCACAAATTTCCAAAATGCAAACATCTAGCAGTTCTTTTGTGAGTTTGTTGCTCCCAGGAATGCCTCAGTGCACCTTTTAGCAATGGGAGAATTAGCCACTAAATATTTGACAGTTAAGTGACAACTGATGTAATCTGTAATGCAAAAGAATAAGCTAAAATACAAGATGTGATTGGCTCAGAGATGTTGTCATCTTTTATTTCATCTATTCATTTAACCTGTGAGAAATTGTTATATGAAATGGAATAGTATAAAATCTGAGACTAAAGGGATCACTCATTTTCTTGAATGTGAGAAAAATGAGTTATGTAACTAGCATAATAAATTCTGTTTTCCTCTGAGACTATACTAACTTCATCTTATCTAAAAGATAGTCCACAAGTTCAAGAAATCTGGGTTGATAATTTCTTTCAGTTCTAGAAAACTTTTCACTTCCTTCTGCTCTCCCTGATTTCTAAATAACAAATTTTCTGCCATTTGGATCAAAATGTCCTTTCAAGATTTTTACCGTGTTTCTCTCTAGCTTTCAGAAATATGAGTGCCTTGAATTTTTTTTTATATCTAGACTATTTGGAGTTAACTTGTTTTCTTCAATTTGTAAATTTTTGCTTTTCACTAACTTGGGGAATTTTTCAGTGGTTTTTATCTTTGATTACTTTTTCACCCCACAGCTTACCCCTTATTACACCATCAAATCTTTTGCTACTGTCCCATAGATTCTTGACCTTTTTTGGTCTTTTTTTCTCTTGTTCAGAATAAGTAATTTCTGTTAGCTCTTCTTCAAGTTCATGGAATCATTCCTATGACATCGATATTCTATTAAGCATATCCAGAGAATTTATCCTACTTCTACATCTCAATCTACCTATAATTCCATTTTTTGTTATATCTTCTATTCCTTTTCTGAGACTCCTATCTTATTCATTTGTTTCAAGTGTGTTTGTAACTGTTCATTTAAACCTCTTTATAATGACTGCTTTTAACTTTTGCCAGCTAACTCCAACATGTGTCATCCCACTGATGGCATCAGCTAATTGTTTGTCTCATTCAAATTGAGATTTTCTGGTTCTTGGTAATGATGGGTGATTTCTCTGTATATGCTGGGATACCTTTAGATCTTATTTAAATGTTCGGTTCTATGAGGTTTCTTACAATACTGTACCAGTAGGGACGAGTGTAAATCTAAGCTACCCTTGTGCCCCACACTGATATTCTACTCCAGTGGGGAAGGAGAGGGTCAGAGGGGATCACTTTGTTACCATCAAGCAAAGGTCCCCACAGTCCCATCACCCCCACCTCTTTTGCACCATTCCAGCAGAGATAGAGAGAATCACCTCACTACCATCCAGGCAAGGGCGAAAATGTAGGCTTTCTCCACTTAGTATTTGTTGATTGGAGGTAAAAATGGAAGCATCGCATGAGATTTAGCTGAAGTAAGGCAGCTTTTGTCAAAAACTTTCCATATTGCCAGACTTGCCTTTCCTCATCTTTGCTCCCAAAATGCAGACTTTATGAAGGCCATTTGTCTAAATACATTGGCATTTCTGGGTGTGGTCTCTTCCAGAGCTCTGATCAGGACATAAGCATAAAGAAACCCCAGGGACTCAACACCATGCTACTCCTTGAGTTCCAGGGACCCTGGTCTCACCATCCTTCTCTCTCAGGCTTCGTATGTTTATTCAATACACAATACCCAAGGCTTTTAAGCTTTTTAAATGGGAGTAAGGAGAAATGTATCTACTCCATCTTTTCTAGATTGAGAAACCCATCTCCCTTAACAGATAATATTTTTACCCAGGGTAACACTGCTGCCTTTAATATGGAGGGCCGGGAGGAATTGTTCCAGCACAGAACAAAAATCTAGAAACATATTTATTCTTCTACAAAAGCAAAGTGTCCTTTCCCAAGAGCCTCTGGTGTCCAGTATGTCCACCATTCACTAAGTTGAGGAAGGAGGGGGTGGGGGAAAGTCAGGAAAAGTAGAGTCAGGGGACTGGAAAACTTATGGGAAGAGAAAAACGGTTTGTTCAGGGATGGTTTACCAGCTTCCTTTTTTACTCTACCACTTCTCACTCTTGTGTGAATAACAGAGAAAGAAAAGATGTATTTAGACAACCATCTTTAAAGGTTCACAATAAAAGTGTTATATCCCTTTCCCCCAGAACCCCACCTCAGATAACAATTGAAGACCTTTTCTCATTCTAGTTTTTATTTAGTATGACTTGTAACTTTCCACTCTAAGTTTAAGAATCGATGTCTCTAAGAACAACACAAAACAAACAGATGTACAGGTGACAGGTTATGAACTTGAGGTTCACATTAGTGGTCACAAAAGGTCAATCTTATGTTAACTACTGAGGTAATGAATAATTTGTTAATCTTTTTGTTCGAAAGCATTTTCTTGGTTGAAAGTACAGATTTATCCTAGGTTTGATGGCTATGGCGGGGGTTGAAAGTATTATACCTTTGTGACAATTGCCTTTACTTCTACTCCTGGCATTTTTTTCTATCGTAGACTACTGACTGGCCTCTTTTTCCCCAGAAGTGCTCTTCTTGCAATGCGACTATTAAACCGGTTGTTACGAGCTTTCTTAATACGACAAGAATCTAGGTTTCTAAAGAATTTGTCTCTTTTGTGACATGGACCCTCCACTTCTTGCATTTTCTGCTTAGGCATTTCTTCCCTCTCTGTCTCAAGTAGTTTTTGTTCCTTCTTGCCCTGTTCGAAGTTTGTCTGAATTAACTTCTCTTGCAAAACTCCCTCGTTCTGGTGATGAAGTTTCTTGAAAATCTCTACTCTTTGCTCTAAGATCTGGCATTCATTCTCTAGCAAAGCTGCAATCAAGTGCAATGAATATGTGTCATGTTTCAGCCTCTTCACTTGTTCCTCCAGCTCCTGCTTAGATGACGCCTCACTATATGGTTGAGTTAGGAGGTAAAGGCTATTCTTTTTAAGTTTCTCTCTTCTGTCTTTCTGAGATTTCTGATAGGATTTTATGAGTTCACTGAGCTCAGTATGTTGCACACTCCAGTGATCTGCCTCCTGTAGTAACTGCTCCATATTGTATCTCAGTTTGCTATTTTCTTCTTGAACACAAGGAAATCTGCACTTGGTTTTTTCCTTATTTAGTTGAGTTTCATTAAGGACTCTTTTTGCTTCTGAACAATGTACCAAATGTCTTGCAAAACCTTGTGCTAAGTTCTTGGAGTTCTGGTTTTTCAGTAGCATCTCCTGTTTCTTTGTGTTTGGTTCTTTCTCTGAGTCTACATTGCGAAGTAGGTTTTCCAGTAGAAATTTATTTAATTTGTCAAGTCCTCTGATTTTTTCTTCAAGTACTGGTGCATGTTCAGGAATATAGTTTTCCTCAAAAGAGTCAGTGTCTATGCTCTTCTCTTCACTGCATGCCATACTTTTCAGAATATCTTTAATTTCTTTTAAGAGAGTTTTAAATTTCTGTGTAGTTTGTTTCTCAGTTGTGGGATAACCACTATTCTTTTGGGAGGGAAGAGAATTCTGGGAGATAGAAGGAAGTGATTCAATTCCAAACAATGCAACGATAATCCTAGGATCCAAGGACTCTTGACTGAGCTCAGAAGTCGGTTTAGAAGTTTCAGAGAGGGTGGGCACCTCCATCTCAGCTGAGTTGGCAGAGCTGGTGGTCAGAGCATGAAGAATGCAGAAAACCTTAGCGATTTCCAGGAAGAGGAGATGATAGTTGTCTTTGCAAGTGAGTAGAAAATGTGGAACTAAGCAGAAGTCAGAGGTCAGAGCTGTGATGTTTAGGTAGAAGATGCTGTTTAGGTGGAAGATGCTGTTTAGGTGGAAGATGCTGTTTAGGTGGAGGGTCACATGTCAGCCTGGAGGGGGGGAGGGAGGATGGGGAAGGGGAAGAGGCACTAGGACTCCATCTCTCCAAAGCTTGCTGGTGTTAATTTCCTGACCCTAGCAACTGGTCTTTATTCTGTCACCGCACCCTGTGGCCAATCCCCAGCTTCTGTTTCCTTTGTGTCATAATAAAAGTCTCTGAAACATTCCCTCCCTCCTCAGTGACTTATACATCAAAATCAACTCTAAACCAGTCCTTACTCCTCACCCTCAAAAGGATCACTATAACACTCCTCCTTCCCCTGACTTTTGTAGGCTTTTATTAATTTCATTCTCAGCAGATCAGTGACTTTCTACTTCATCCCCAGTACCCACAAGTCCAGCCTCAACTGGAGGAAGTTTCTTTACCACCTAAGCGTGTGGCTGATGGGTATGGGGGTGAGGGGGGGTTTAGGGTGGAGGGATTCACAGCATACAGCAGCCAAATGCTGCTGTACAGGAAAACTATCCATGTAAAATAATTCCCCAAATTGCTACACTTTTTTTTTTTAACTTTAGGGACATAATGTCGGCGATCATTCTATTTAAAACTAGTCTAGTGCATCTCATGTTTATTCTGCTTTATTTACAATAGGAAAGACACGGAATCAACCCAAATGCCCAAAAGTAGATGACTAGATTAAAAAGATGTGGTATAGACATACAATGGAATATTACTCAGCAATCAAAAAGATAAACTCATTCTTTTTGTAACAAGATGGATGGAGCTGGAAGGGATCATGCTTAGTGAAATAAGCCAGAAAGAAAAATACTGGATGGTTTCATTCATAGAAGGAGCATAAAGGAGGGGAGGTGTTGAATAATAATGAACAACTATATACCAGAGATGTTTTACAGGAGTGGAGTGGAAATGGGATAAAAAATGAGAGGCAGGGGGATGTGCATGGGACTATGGTGATGACACACAGGACTACGGTGATGGTATAAGGGTGAACTGGTGATGGGAAGCCCACCGGGGTTACAACTGAGATAGAAAAGGGTACAAAATGATGTAAAAATAAACTATTATTTTAAAAAATGATTAAGTTGTGCCTTTAGGCACCATATATATATATTCTAGTGCAGTAAAAAGAGATTCTTGGGCCCTCCCTGGTGGTGCAACCGGTTAGGATGTAGCCCTGCAAGCTAGTGCTGCCGCTTCAGCATGAGTTCCCGCTCAGAAGTGACTCATAGTGTTTGTCAGAACCTCTCCTGACCCAACCGCTGCTCCCCTCAGCAGTGTGCTTCATCGATCTGCCTGTTCTGCTCCCCACTCTGTCTCTGGTGAATCCTATCACTGCCCCTGCACCTTTGGCTTGCACCCCAGTTCTGTATACATAAATAAATCTTTTAAAAAAGAGAGAGAGATTCTTGAAAAGATCCCCTAACAATACAATCACAAATTGGAGCTTTTAAAAAATGCATTTATTTTCATTTATTTATACGTAGAAGAACTGGGGTGTAGCAAGAGAGGGTAGGGGATGAGAGGATTTCCCAGAGACAGAGTGGGCAGCAGACTGTCATATCTACCGAAATACACTGCTGACAGGAGCAACAGGTGGGACAGGAGAGGTCTGCTGCACCATGTGGGTAAGCTCCCTGGCCGGAGATAGAACTCATGTGCGATAACTTGATAGCGCTGAGACTAAAAGGCTCCAAAACTTTTTTTTCTTTTAATAAAAAGGGATTTAAATATTCCATTCCTCCTTAAAAATTTAATGAGCTTCAAATAACATTTCTGTTAATGCTACTGAAATTTGAGTTTACTATAGATGCTGAAAGAGATTCTTTTATTTACCTATATTGCCAGTAAATAACTATAGAAGTTGACACATTTGTGTTATGTTACAGTTGATGTCTACATTTCCCAAAACTAAATGACTTTAAAAAAGAGAGTAAAAAAGAAATTGAAAAAATATATTCTAAGATTATTAGATAGAAAACGTATAGAATTTTTCTTCCTTTATAACCAGCTTGCTTTGATAAAATATAAAACTGCATTTAAATTTAAAAATGTCAAAATATAGGATGTATTATTTGTGATCCTTTTTGTATCAAGTGACAGAGACTAGACTCAAACTGGCTTAATTCAAACTGAGGTGGGTGTGCACAAGGTTATTGGCTCAAGTAACTTAGAAATTTAGGAGTAGCTGTATCTGAATTCAGGGGCTCATGTTATACAGTTAGGGCTTGACCTCACCACTTCAGAGATGATTTCTCTTTCTGTGCTTTCATTCTCAGGAATATCTTTCTACTTAGTGGCCTTAGGGAGTTCTAGGTTGATATCCTACAATTTTAACAACCTAAGGGAAAGGAAATCTCTCTTTTGTGTCGCTCCAGCATTGATTGGCTGGCCTGGGACAGGTGCCTGTGGAGTTTGGGTGTACATCAGCCCATTCACTGAAACAGGGAGTGGCTGACTGGACTGCTAGACTCTGAAAAGAAGAGAATAAGTATTAGGGAAGATGTACAGATATTCGATGTTGGGCCTAAAACAGAAAATAGAGTAAAGCGATACTTTCTGGACAAACCAAAAATACCCCTCTCTCAAAAGCTTGGAAATTCTGGTAACTCTGCTATGAAGATTCTGAAACCATTATGTTTCATAACAATAACTCTGTAGATAGACACTCCAAAACTAAAAACCCGTGTTCTGTAGGTGAATTTTTAAAAACTTTTACTTTCAAATAATTTTAGACTTAAAATTGCAAAAAATAGTACAAAGGATTTCTATCTACCCTGACCTTAACATCTTACATAATCATAATTCAATTATCAAAGCTAACATTGGCATGATACTATTAAGTAGACTATAGATTTTACTGAGATTTCACCAGTTTTTCTACAAATGTTCCTTTTCTGTTTCAGGGTCCCTCCTTGCATTTATTTGTTATGTCCCAGTTTCCACTAATCTTTCCATGGAAAGGGCACCTCTTTCCTTGTTTTACATGACACTTTGGAAGACTACTGTCAGTTCAGTTTTTTTGTGGATTTTTCTTTGTGTTTTTCTAATTTCTTCTCATTCCTAGATTGAAGTTGTGTATCCACTGCTTCCCTTGAAGTATATTTTTATTGTGTATAATTGTTTTAATTGTTCAGTAATGTTTGTTTTCTAAAGCAAAGCATAATAGCTGGTTAAAGATGATCGTGTTCAAACTAGAAACCAAAGACATTTTATGGGGGTGGGAAGGGAGAATGGGATCACAACTGAAGTGGGAAGAGTGCACTGGACTATGGCGATGGTACAAGAGTGAATTGGTGATGGGAAGCCCATGGGGATTACAATTGAGATGGAAAGATGCACAAAATGAAGAATGATGTAAAAAACTAAAAACTATAATTAAAGAAAAGGAAAAAAATCAAAGAATAAAAAACAAAGATGATCGTGTTCAAGGAATTTTATGCTGGTGTGACATATATCATGATTTTCATGGCTGATTTTATATGTAATAATTCCTATGTATATCTGATATCAAAGATTAAGTAGCTGAAAAGGTCAAATTTTTTTTAAATAAACAAAATAGCTGGACACAGCTGTTAACCCTTTTCCTCCTCATGTCCTTCTCCTTTTGACCAGCAGGTGGTGGTGTGACATTTAAAAATTAAAAAGGTTTTCTCCCCCTCCCCCTCTGGTTTTAAAAGAAGCTGGCCTCTTTAATGAGGGGAGCCCTGGAGGTATTCTCATCTATGTCTTTCTCCTTTCAGAATTTGAGTGTGATTTGCTCAAAGTTACAACCACTTCTAAGTGATTTACCCCAAATAACAACTAGCTACGACAGCTAGATTAGCGTTTATACTTGCTGCTTTTAATTGTTAAGCTTGCAGGAATCAGGAGGCTGTGGAAGAATTTTTTAAAAACCTACAATAGGTGGGCCCTCCCTGGTGGCGCAGAGGGTTAAAGCACAACACTAAGAAGTTTAAGCCATTTCCGCATGAGTTCGAGCCCTGAGTTCGATCCCTGACTGCTGGGGAGGAGATCCACATGGCCCGAAGGAAATCCACATGGCAAGGCAGACCTCCCCGGACCCGCCGGCTGCTCTCCTCAGCAGTGCACCTCGTTGATCTGCCTGTTCTGCTCTTCATTCTGTCACTGGTGAACCCTCTCACCCTCCTCATCTCTGGCCTGTACTCCAGTTCTATATGAATAAATAAATAAATCTTTTTTTAAAAAATTAAAAAAAACCTACAATAGGAAAACGTTATGGGAAAGAACAGGTTTTCAAATCTTAGGAGACTGGCTTGCATTTTGATTGACAAAAATGTGACCAGGGATTTGTAAGAATATAATTCTGTAGTTCCATTGGAAGCAATAGTTCTATTTTCCTTAATTCAGTGTTGGTAGTGACTTCATAGAACATAAATACTGCAAATAATGAGAAATGATTTTAGGTAGAAAGGAATTTAATGGAAAATTTTGAAAACTTCCATTGAGAAAAGTCAACTGATGTTTGTCAGAGATACAAAGACAATTCAATAAACAGTGCTGGATAATTTGGGCAGCTACATGCAAAAACAATCAACAGTGACACTTATTTCGTGCCTTACATTAAAACTAACCCTAAATGGATCATATGCTTAAATGTTAAATGCAAAACTAAATTCTCTAGAAGAAAACAAAGGACAAAAATATGTTTGCCCCTGGATTTGGTGATAATGATCTTTTAGATAAAACACCAAAAACATAATCCATAAAAGAAAACTTTGATAAGTTAGGATTTCTCAAAACTCAGAACTTTCACTCTAAAAGTGTCTGTGAGGTGAATGAAATG